TTTTACTCTCTATACTAGGTGCGTATAAAATTACAAGCTTAGTATAAAGCATAGAAAAAGCTACATATATTACTGATATTTCTTTCTTAATAGTATATTACATAACAAAGGTAGATAGTAAGAAGCTAATTACAGGAGAGTAGAAAAATTTAACGTAGATATAGGCAACACATTATACATTACTTACGACAAATATTCAGTTTTATATCTATTTATATTTATCCTCATTCCTAATGATGATGTATACGCCATAATCAGTGAAATTACCTATAGTTTTTTATTACTTGTTAACATAATCCTGACATTAATATTTTGTTTAATTTTTAGGGAATATGCGAAAGACGGGATTAATCTAACTAAAAATTATAATTTTGAAGAATTTGACGTCAAAAAGCAAACGAAAATTATATTTCATGGTTACAAACAAAATGGAACCTCGGACACAAGCACTTCAATAAAAGATAATTATTTAATTGCATCAGATATAAATGTGATAATTGTAGATTATCATTCTATAGCAAGTATGTAAATATTATTAATTGTATTATTATCTATGATATAAGGTGACCAATCGTTCTCCTTTCGGGTAGACAGTCCTGTTGTTGGTTCTATCCATCCTCGAAAAGTATCCTTATACTTACCCTTTTTTTCGATATTTAAAAATAATCTGTTAACCTCTGTATGTTGATACTCTAGCTGCAGTGCTCACTGTAAAATTTAATTTGAAGAATGTTTCCAATATATTTTTAGAAAATGATATATTGACAAAAAATATTCACTCAAGAGTTTTTAAGAGTTTTTAAGAGTTTTTAAGAGTTTTTAAGAGTTTTTAAGAGTTTTTAAGAGTTTTTAAGAGTTTTTAAGAGTGTTTAAGAGTTTTTAAGAGTTTTTAAAAGTGTTTAAGAGTTTTTATTAGGAGTTTTTTTAAGAGTTTTTAAGATTTTTTAAGAGTTTTTAAGAGTGTTTAAGAGTTTTTAAGATTTTTTAAGGGTTTTTAAGAGTTTTTAAGAGTTTTTAAGAGTTTTTAAGAGTTTTTAAGAGTTTTTAAGAGTTTTTAAGAGTTTTTAAGAGTTTTTAAGAGTTTTTAAGAGTTTTTAAGAGTTTTTAAGAGTTTTTAAGAGTTTTTAAGAGTTTTTAAGAGTTTTTAAGAGTTTTTAGGAGTTTTTAAGAGTTTTTAAGAGTTTTAAAGAGTTTTTAAGAGTTTTTAAGAGTTTTTAAGAGTTTTTAAGAGTTTTTAAGAGTTTTTAAGAGTTTTTAAGAGTTTTTAAGAGTTTTTAAGAGTTTTTAAGAGTTTTTAAGAGTTTTTAAGAGTTTTTAAGAGTTTTTAAGAGTTTTTCAGAGTTTTTAAGGGTTTTTAAGAGTTTTTAAGAGTTTTTAAGGGTATTCAAGATAACTCCATGACACATAATATGTAAATGAAAAGTTTGAGGATCTAAAAATTAAATTACTCCGACCTTACTTCGCATGTACCTGGGCTAAAAGTGAGTAAGCACGATATACCCACCTAAGAGTAAGAGAGCGAAATATATGGGAACACTCCTATGGGAGCGCTCCCATGACTTAGTGAATAGCTATCCTGAGATTTTATTGAGCGATGAGTCTAGCATGTTGTTCCGGTTCTTAACATTTCGCATTTTTTATTAGAAAAGTCGCTCGTATTATTTTGTGACTCACAGTTTTATTGAGGCTGTTTGTTATTCTTTATTTTACGTTTTTATCAAATTTGAGTTTGGAATTACTTTCGTAAATAAAAATAAATTATTTTTGTTTAAGGTAAAGTCTATTTTGTGTCAGTCTATTCTTTAGGACCGATAGCTGATTATTGCGCAGAATTCATGGCATATTTATTCAACTACATCGGAGTCAAACCGAAAAAAACACATTTTATCGGACATAGTCTAGGAGGTCAGCTAGCAGGTTTGATAGGGAAACGGTTGTTAATTTTTTGGATGAAAAAAATTGAACGAATTACAGGTACCTATAAATTTTTAGTACTTGGAGTGTTTTGTGTTTTTTTAAACAGGTTTTAAACTATCTCCCTTACTCAGTTCTTCTAAAATAATACTTTGGTTTGTTGTCTCACACATTTAAAAGAAAACGCATAAATGATTTATAAATTAATGCAAATCATGTTTGTAGGTATATCTATGTTTCAGGTTTAGATCCCGCTGGTCCGCTATTTGAACTTGTTCACCTAAACAAAAGAGATGCCAAATTTGTCGACATCATACATACAGACGGAAAGGGGTTTGGTTTAAACTTATCTACGGGTCATATTGACTTTTATCCAAATGGAGGTTATAATCCACAACCAAATTGTACCAACGAGTCCTTTATGGTAAATGAAGATTGATTTTTAAATGCCTTTAATGAATTCTTGAAAATAAAATAGTGTGAATGAGAGTGGTTGAAATTTTTCACGAAACAATAAAAAAGTACTGGTTTACATTGCTTCTATACACTTTTTCCAATAAAATATGTCATCTCCGTACCATTTACTGTTATCGTATAAGCTTTTTCCAATAAAATGTGTAATTTACAATTTAATTTTAGAGATCAGACAGTTGTAGTCACAAACAAAGTTGGTTGATGTATGTACAAACGATTGTAAATAAAGACTTGTACATAGGAAACTGTACAGGCAACAAACGATTTGCTATGGGTAGCGCAACACCTTCACATGCCAGAGGAAATTGCACTTTACAAACCAGCAGATATCAGTCTAATAATAAGACAGAGTACAATTTATTTGATTTCATTGCATTCTTACCTGTAATAACGTTTGATTACTTTTGGGATTTACTTTCCTAATATCATAGATAATTCGTAAAATAATTTTATTGTAAAATTATAAAATAAACAATTTTATATTTCTTCGAATTTTATTATTATTTTTATGCATTAACGCTGATTTAATCATGACCAAATAACATATTTCATCCTGTACAATTTTTTGACTTTGTCACCAGAGTCACCAGTCTTGATATATTACTAGAATACTACAGATATGAATAGAGATGTGGATAGAGGAGATAGGATAATTTTTTAATTAAAAATAGCGACTTCAAAATCGTGAATTGAAAACAGACACCCTGTTAAATAATTATACATATATATAAAAAAAATTATATACCAATGAATTGAGAACCTCCTCCTTTTTAAAAAGGTCATTTTCCCCGGTAGTGCAAAATAAGCATACTATGTAGAACAGAAGTAAAAGATGGAAATGCTTTTGTCAGTTCTCCCACTTTATCACATACTTTGATTACTATACGAGGCAAGAGAGAGGTCCGACACGCCCAACATAGGGCGCGGCCATTTTGAACCCTCTGCAATGACATATATAGATTAATAGACTGCTCATCCATATATAAACAATACGACAAAAAGCGGGTCATATTGCTTGGCTTGCCGAGTGCTCACCAGGCAGAATCGGTCTGGCCCAAATGAGTTTAAAACTCATATTTCATCAAAGTAGGAATTGAATTAAAAAAAAAAATATCTTTAAGACAGCAGCTTGCGTTAGGTATTTTAAAAAAGGATTTTGAGTCATAACGTCTAGTTTCCCAATTTTGAAAACATTTTAAGAGATCTAACCAATTTTGAACATAGATATAAACAATTTGACACTCATGTGTATATAACTAACTTTAGACCACGACCACTGTATAGTGGCACTATTCGGACACTTGATTATTCTTTTAAAATTTATTTCGCATTATAAAAGCAGATATTATGCAAAAATTGAATAAACTTTTTAAAGATTTTACTAAAAGTTAGTAGCTTTTTCACATTCTAAAGTTTGTTCCCTTTAGACAATTAAGGATTATTTTGGCGGTGAATGTGAATGATTTGATGAATAATAATAAGATTCCACCAGTGGAAATCTAATCAACATCATAGTAAAATGAACTAGGTACAAAGTGCAATCTTAGTTGACGTCAAGATCCATGTACCTTAGCATCGGTAAGGGGGAAAGAAAGATTCTGACTTACAATCACAAAAAAAACGTACAACTAAGCTTAGTCGATGTAAGTTAGCTCAGATTAGTGGTAAAAGAAAGCGACTATTAATAAAAAGAAAAGTAATCCAGCTAAAACAAGAATTATGGCTACTGTCTTTAATAATGATATGTTGCCAGTACTAGTAGAAGGTTAAGTGTTGAGTTATCTTCTTCAGGCAATGGATGTACGTATGCATAATTTAAAATGTTTGGTTAATTATTATTATTATGTTTAATGTGTTTTTGCAGTTAATGAACATATATCTATTACTGAAGCAAATAATGAAGATTTGTGTGCTGCTGAAGAGCTTTACTTAATTTACAAAACTTTGTTAAAAAGCCCATATACTTTGATTTTCTTTTACTATACGGAGAATGGTCGCACTGCGCAGCTTTCTGAGTGCCTTTTAAAAGGAGATAGAAAACTCCGCCATTTTGAACCCTTATTACGTGGTGCTTACATTTTGGCGCAATATTTTTAATAGGTGCGTTTTAATAATCCGCTTCTGCTTCGGAATTGTCGGTTATCTTGTTTTAATCTGACAGGTTAAAACGACTAAACCGACAATTCCGGAAGCAGAAGCGGATAATTAAAACGCACCTGATATTTTGCTTGCTGCTGTCAGTGTCAGTGAATATTATTTTTGAAGTCACAGTTTATTGCTGAAGAATCAGTTAGCTCACTCGGACCAGTTGAAAATTCCAAAATAACATCCACTCCAGGGATACAAATTCACGATAAGCAGAAGACTGCTGTTTTATTATAGGCTGCTGTCATATATTGTATTATCCGAGTTGTACAGTGTATAAACTGAAACATTGAGATCCAAAGTGCCGACGCAGAGTGAGCGATCTGATTCTTTAGCTGTAAACTGTGTCACAGGGTTCAAAACGGCCGCGCCCTATGTTGGGCGTGTCGGACCTCTCTCTTGTCTCTTATAGTAATAAAAGTATGTGGTACCGTATACTCGTTTTAATAGAAAACCTGATTTTAGTAGATGACATTGTATATGACATGGTAGAATGGCAGCAAAGTGAAAACCACAATCTAACCTTATTTTGTCGACGAAACTAAATTAATATGAGTGAAAAGAAAGGTAATTTATTGAATTTGTTATTATATGATATCATTTAAATACATTCCCTAGAAAAACATGACAAAAACGAGGAGGTTGAAGAACAAGAAGAACAACCTGAAGAAATAGTAATTGAGAGAGAACCACCACAAGGTTCAACGGACGAAGAGAAACAATATTGGCTCAGAAGATTGCCGATACGGCAGGGTTGTTTTGATTCTCCTATAGACTTAAATCTTGTAAATTGCATACCTATTTCGTTGCCTAAATTAGAGTGGGTAAACTTTGATGCTATTCCGAAGAAAACTAAACTAACAAATTCAGGACACACCAGTAAGTTAAAATACCAAATAAGTTAATAAATCATAAATACAATTAATTTCTAAATCGTTCGCATTTATGATTACTAAATTACTGTATATTTCTTTCTTTTTTTTGGGTTACCATTTTTCGTTTTGAGACCGGTATATTTTTTCTAAGGGTTGATTCCACCGTTGTGTTAAACGAAGTTTAAATTACTAAACGATTATTAAAATGACCTTGGCTACGTAAAAATACCATTTTAATCTTCGTTAAACACAACGGTGGAATCGGCTCTAATAACTCAGGTAGGATTCGATTACAATAAGAACACCGCTACGACATAACTATTAAGTCGAATTGTCGGTTTAGTCGTTTTAACCTGTCAGATTAAAACAAGAAAACCGACAATTCCGAAGCAGAAGCGGATGATTAAAACGCACCTATTAAAAATATTGCGCCAAGATATAGGCAACACGTAATAAGGGATCAAAATGGCGTAGTTTTCTATATCCTTTTAAAAGGCATTCAGAAAGCTGCGCAGTGCGACCATTCTCCGTATAGTAAAAGAAAATAAAAGTAAGTATGTGGGTAGAAGGCTGATCGGGCGGTAGTTATTGGGATCCAGTTTATTGCCTTTTAAAAGATCGAGGTGACAGATGCAGATTTCCAGGAGGAGGAAAGAGAACCTAGAGTAAAGGATGTATTCATTATTATAGAAAGAGGGTATGACAGAACGCCTGCGCTTTTTTTAAGAAAACAATGATTATCTTGATGTTTTTTTTATGGAGCCAACCTAGAGTAGTGGATACTTATTACGCTGCTTTTACAGCAGAAAATTTACTAGAGAAAATATTCTTTAACCATTTGCTGAAGAATGAGGCAAACTTAATAAATTAAGAACAAAATTTGCTAGAGACAAAAACAGTAGATCTACGTGAAAATAGTAGGTGGTTATCCCTGTGAATGTCGCGCGACACTTCTCAAGCTTGCGAAATGTACGAAGCGTAACATTTATGCATCTGTCGTCCTACTCGACCTTGGATAACAGTAGGCCTTCTTACTGGACACTGTCGCCTCAAAAGGCACATGAGTGTCATAAATCCAGCAGAAGAAGCAACTTTGTGCAGGTTCTGTGAAGAAGAAGAGGAAACATTATTCCATGTCCTGTGCCAATGTGAAGGCTTGGCTGGAATGAGGTTTCTAACATTGGGCGAAGAAAAGCCAATTGCATGCAACTACATGCGGGAGCCACTGTCAAAGCTACTAAGTCTAATAAAAAAGACCAGGCTAGACGACATACTCTAAAACAAACGGAGTCCCACAATAGATCTGAAAAGGTCGCGGTGGACAAGGACAAATAACGTCCAACTCCTAATCTAATCTAATCTAATCTACTCGACCTTGGGGTCGCCTCAGTGGTCGCTTGTCTCCTGACGCGCCTACCCAAATGGTATCTTTAGGTATAACCCATAGTTTTATGCACAAACAAACACAGTTGAAAATGCACAACTTACTTGGACAACAATTCCACCAATATATTTTATCTATAACTATCAATAAATAAAGAATGTAAGTTGTATGGTTTAAAAATATGATTCCTATAATATTAACACGCCAATAAACCCTCAGTAGGCGACTGTGTTCTTCTTATTGTAATCGGACCTTAGCAGAATGAACTTAAAATAATATTAATATTAAAAAAGTAGTATCCCTATACAATATGTTAGTAATATTTAGTGCGAAATGGCTTGGCGAGAGGCCGTACATCTATGCCGGACCGTTTACTGCGAAATATGTTTTTTCCAATTTCCATCTACATTGGGGAGAAAATGCACAAGAAGGAAGCGAACATACGGTAGATGGTGGAAATTTTCCAGCTGAACTGCACGTCGTGTTCTTTAAGAGTAGTTATTTAACGCAGGAAGCAGCTTTAAAGGAGCAGGACGGCTGCGCAACGCTAGCCTATTTGATTCAAGTAAGTATTGAAATATAAATAGGTTTGTTTTAAAACATAGCAAAAATCGTACGTTGTACTGTCACGGTCTTACGCAGTAGGTGAAGCTGAATAATTTTCCAAAAGTAAGTTTTTACCTACACTTATTGTTCGTTTACATTGTCTATGGAAACATTCAAGGTTTTTTATTGTCCAGAGATCTCTATCGGGCCCGCAACTACCTTTAGGGCTGAAGCAGTAAATCTGCTTGTATACCTTTCGCATAGCTTTTCCAATGTTTTCATGGAAAACCATATCAGGCTAATTGGCCGGTTTGTTTTCCATCCTTTGAGTGTAAAAACAACTTTTACTTCCCTCCATTTTTAGAAGATCTACCTCATTGCCATAAAGAAACTGCATATATCTACAAGGTGTGATTTCTTTCAGGCCTCACTGAAGTAGGGCTGGATAGATACCATCAGGTCTTGGTGATTTAAATAGAGAAATTTAAAAATTGCCTAGCTAATTTTTTCTTCATCTACAATGTGTTTGGCAGTTTGTCCATCCTAGACAAATGGGTTGTGTTCTTTTTCTGCTTAGTCGGCTATTTTTTTGATAATCAAGTCAGAAAACTGTGCCGACAGCAGATGTTTGATGGTATCCTACTATTAGAGTATCTTGAGAGAGTTATTTAAAGCCTTGACGCCTGTAGTAAATCTTCGATGCATCTCTGTTTTTGTCCAATGATTATTTTGTATCCTCAGCTAAGATTTTTAAGTATCCCAGCCCCTTTTGTATCTTGTGGTTCTTCCCTTATTAAAACAATTTCTTGCTATCTTCTTTAAATGAACAAACTCGTGAACCATCATGTGGTAGTCGACTTATTGTGTTGAACCAGCTTCAGGAGACATAACTTCTTATAGAAGTTATTTATTGTGTTTTAGATAGTGTTTGAGTACTTTTCCAAGAATCATTTGTAACTCTTACTAAGAGTAGCTACGTTTCACCGGGTAGGGTTGTACAGTCAGACACAGAATTCGAATATAAAATAAAAGTTTAATTCTAAAAATACTATTTACAAAGTACTGTTTACAAAATGTGTAACCCCTGGTCTAAAACAATTCCTCGTGACATTTTGCTTGGATGAGCCGGGCGGAGGTAACCACGTTTTGTTGGTTGTCAGCTGAATGGACGCCTTATTGTATTCTAATAAACGGTATTCGAAATGGGAGAGCCCCAGCGTATCAGGATGGGATTGCCGGGAAAAAAGACGAGTCTACTTATTCGATCATTCTATCCTCCGAAAGAGAAGAGGGCTCTCGTTTAGCTTCTCGGAGTTATCTTCCTGAAAGTCGTCGATCGTCATTTTATCTGACTCTGTAATGTTTTGGTCTTTTGTAAATGATGCACCCTTTGTTTCATATCTTTTATTACGATACAGCTTGTTACTTGATGCTTTCGCTTACGTATCACCAAGTGACTTGACAAGACACAGGCAGGTTTAACATCAATATCCCAACCTACGGGTTTTGCCAACCTATTAAGGTTAACCCACAAGGACCTGTTTATATTAGAGGCTCTACGGTGTGCAAAGTTGGCTCTTCTTGCAGAGGATTCTTATCTTGGCTTCGCTTTAGTCTCTTTTTGACGCTTGACCTTACAGAAATTAAAATACAAGTGCACAGAACACCTACCTGTAAAAGCTAACAAATAAACGAGCGTTTAGCTTGAATCGCAAATAGTAATTTACCAATACGATAGGGCTGTTATACAAATGCCGCAGATTTGCATGGCTAACCACCCCGGCAAATAAAAGGGAATATATTACTTTTTATTTTAAATAAATTTTTCGTTCACACAGTTACAAGAGATGGAAAATCCTGGATTTCAAGTCATCATAGACTCCTTGAGGGACATTGCTATAGCGGGAACGTCTAAAAGAATTGCGAATGTATGCGTGTTAAGATTATTTAGGAAATTCTTGGATGACTATTATCTATATTGGGGTTCAGTAAGTACCTACAGTTGTCTGCATTTTATTCTATGGTTGGTCACAAGGAAACCTATAGGAATATCTAACGAACAGGTAAATAATTGATTTCTTAGATTTATTATAAAAATGTCGAATAATATAAACAAATATTACGTTAATGGTATTGTTACTAAATAATTAGACTCTAAAGTATACTAGTGAGTAGAACCTTGGTTTATGAAAATTTTTAACCCTAAATAACTTAGGTTAGAGTAAAATTGCTAATTGATTTTGATAATCAGATTTTAATAATCGATTTGCTCAAAAAAAAATTACTTACATGGCAATTATTGCGCCACCCTTGGTACTGATACAATTAGTTTAAGAGAACTAGGATGGCACAATGAATCTGTGTAGTCTCAAGGTGTATTCTAAAGTTCTAGCCTACGTGAAGATCATTTTTTAGAATACACCTTGGAACTATATGAATAATGTATTGGAATCATTTCCCGATTTCGTGATAAACTTAAGAAAGCCATTATCTCGTTAATGATGGCAAGACGATCCTTTGGAAAAAAATGGGGGTTAAAACCAGACATGGTATATTGGCTTTATAACATGGTGGTGAGACCGATAATAACATACGCAGCTTTGGTGTGGTAAAGGAAATCAATAACGAGGCTAAGCGAGGTACAACGACTTGCCTGACTCGGAATAACGGGGGCAATGAAAACAACCCCCACCGCTGCAATGGAAGCACTAATAGGACTCCCACCTCTTCACTATGTGATACAAAAAGAGGCAAGATTAGGTGCTTACAGATTAGGGAATATACTGGGAAATCTGGACATTAGGCCAGGTCACATGAGTATCTCAAGGTTAGTGACAGGAGACGTGCTAGACATGAGATCAGACCACATAACCAAGAGGTACTCTTTTAATACTCCATTTGAGGTTTTAATACAGGAAAGGGCCGAGATCACCATAAGGGAGCCTAATGCCCAACGACAGGAACAAACCTGGTATACAGATGGGTCTAAGACTGCGGAAGGCACTGGGGCGGGAGTATTCTCCAAAAACTCTGATACTAACCATAGCTATGTTATAGGAATACATTTCTCGGTATTTCAGGCCCAATGTGCAAAAACGAACAATCAAAGGGCTATCGAAAATCAATATATTTAAATAATGTCAGACAGCCAAGTGACATTTAAGGCCATATCGAAATTCCGTCGAAGCTGGTATGGGAATGCATAGAAGAACTAAGAACACTGGCAGGCCGAAATAGAGTAAAACTATTTTGGGTGCCAGGTCACCAAGGGATCGAAGGCAACGAAAAAGGCTGACGAACTTGCAAACCCAGGAGTACCAAAAAGTATAGTCCGGGGTTTCATAAACGACTGGATTCAGGAACAACATATTAACTATTGAGGAAGCATCCCAAAACAGGCATATGGAAAAGCCTTCATAGGCAGACCATGTCTCAAAAGAACTGGAGAACTACTCTTTATGAATAGGAACCAGTTGAAAGTGATAACAGGGTTCATGACTGGGCACTCCCCAGTAAAGGGACACTTGAACAAAATTGGCATGTACAATGGGGAACTCATGTGCCGACTATGTCACAAGAAACCAGAAATGGCCAAACACATACTGTCGGGGCGATGAGGGGGTTTTTTACTTTACCTTATCGCCTCTTTAGTTTGGCGGCCTAGCTATTGAAATTTTGAGCTAACCTTATGAATACTGCTTCTCCGTGGAATGGACAGGTTACCTGGTGTTGCAGCTTGACTGTAGTAAAACACTTTTAAACACAAGCACAACTTGTTTATTTCAACAATAAGAACTTGTTAAGACATATAAATGTGAATGTACATATTTGTTAAAAGTTAAAGAATGATTTCAAATTTGAGATGTTTGAGATATTACCAGCTTGGGTGCTAATGGCTATCTGAAGTCTGTTTTACCGCTTAAAATATCTGTTACATATTTCCCTCTCCATTTACTAACTGACTTTTATTTGAATTTGATTGGTCTGGTCGATATGCAACCCATTTTACTTTGTTGTGTATTGTGAATAGTCTATTCTTTGTTTCTGTAAAGATTGACATGCATTGTGGATAGCCTATCCGTTTTGCCTTTAATCACAGACATCGATAAAGGAGATAGGAAATGTCATTTTCATCAGGCACGTAGAATTGAAGGCGGCCATCTTTACAAAAAAAGCGACCTACGCACTTGCGCATTGATTGAATATTGAAGTGTACAGGATAGGACTAACACATTTAAACATAATTCGAAAATATAAAGGATTTACTTACACAGTAGAACTAATAACCATAAAAACTCGTAATAGAATTTTAATTTTCTTTTTTTGTGGATTTTAAGAGATTTCTAAAAATAAAAAACATCATAGTCTTTTTTGAAACTTTATTTTAAATTAAATGAAAACATAGAATATATTTAAAATACAATTTTATATGAAATTAATACAACAATCTAAGGCCGCCATACATTTTGTAGCAAATAAATCTGGAATCACGTGATTTAAACAAAACTTTCATATTAAAAACTGTAATTTTGTATGTAATTATTACATGGGATTGCTCAGATCTTTAAAGTATTTCATTTTATATAAAAACTACAAAACTAAGGAATTCAAAAATATTTGTAATATCGTTCCACAATACTATGACATGCACTTGAGCATACATTAAGAATCATCAATCAAAATAAATAAGAGATTATGGGCATATTCCTACTAATGAATAGAGTAAATTTAAAACTAGGTATTAAAAGAAGCATGTAGTCAAATATTTTATTAAAAAAGGAAAATAAATGCAAACTTTAACGTTTTCCTTTAAAAAACAACTACTTCTTTGGCTAATTCCGCAGCAGGCATTGAATTATATCCAAAGAAAACAACAAAGTTAAAAAATTCATATTTCAATATTCAAACTTTGTTCTTGCTTACCATAGATAACGTTATTCTTGGACCGGTTTTGTCCTTATTAGGACTCATCAGCAAGAAATAGACATTCTCGATTTCGGTCACTAAAGGAATCTGAAAAGGCGGTAAATTCACCCGCTTACATAGACGGAGGTTGTGAGAGAATAAGTAGTAACAAAGCTTCGATTTTGCCAAGTGCGAAGGGTTTTACTTTTTTATCTTGTGTAATAAATACTACAGTAACTATATGTTAATATTGGGTTATTAAACATAAAACATTTATATTACATTAGAAAATGGCACTAATAAATTATAAATAAAAAAAAGCTATTTAATAAAAGTTAATGAGGAACAAAAAATACAAAGAGTTTTTTAAATTTTCATTGGGGTTTGAACAATGTCTTTAATGTTTTTATTAATCTTGATATGTGATTTTCCTATAAGGGGAGATACTCTTTAGATAATTATAATTATTGATTTCTCGAAACAAGTTTTTATTTTAAACTAATTGAAAATGAACATTTTTTAGCAGGTAATTGATTATGTGATTAAAAATACTTTTTTTTTAAGATAATTCGACAGTTTTACACTAGTACTTACAGCCGAAACTGTTTTATATTACCCTATTTTGTCCTAAAAAATAATTTTCAATCATTTTTATTAGCTGTTGCGCTAGAAAGTGTATCTTGGCCAGCAGAATATTTTATCATTTTTTTTTTGCAATATAAACAATGTTTTCTGAAATATCTAACAACTTAATTACATTCTGTATAATACAATACAATAATTTAACTTTTCCATCCTGGCTCCAGGAAAAAGGTATGGAACACAATGCCATTGAATAGAGAGAAATAAAATAATACGAATGAGTGTGGACCGTCTCATCTTTATTACGCCTGATGCGTCGGCTTAAGATACCGTACATTTTTTGACTATATTTAAATAAATAAATAATGTTTATTGAGCAACTATAAATACATTAGTGTCTCAAAATGAATGAATTCGGCTGAGCCGTTTTTCAATTGATCCTCATTATAACAGAAAAAATGTTCACAAAATAATTATTTTAAATTAAATCATTGTCTTGAAATAAGAACTTGCCTAATAGTCTTAACAAAATGATTAAAATTCAAATTATTAAGGTCTGAATTTAACAATAATGGTGCTACGTATCTAAAACAACCTTGGAATTTTGAAGTTCTATGCATTGGGGTTGTAATAGTGTTCACTCTTAAGTTTACATTGTGTAAAGTTGATCTTTTTAGTAAGATATCGTGGAATTTTAAACATTAAAAAAAGATATTTTACGCTTTCCTAAATTTTATATTTATTTAACCTGCGAATGTACGGAGAAACATGATTTCTATAAGGAAGTACATCTTATACAAGAATTTTGAATCTTCTGAAGTTTCTCTCAGTTATATTTAGTAAGAGTAGTAATAAACTATAAGCACTGTTGTTGTACTTTTTAGTGTCATTTGTAAAATGTAGATGGGGTCCTAAAGAATACAATAGCCATTAAGATTCTTAATGTCATGGTACAGAAGTAATCGTAGTCTATATGAATGGAAAATTTTTACAGATAAAGGATTATTGTTCCATCCATACCTAGCCCTAGAAATAAAATTGCATCATACAATTAAACTAATACTATTCCATATACTGCAGAAAAATAGCTCTAAGTGATCTGTACTAAGTTTATATATTAACAGTTTACATATTTGTCATATAAACCTATTACAAACTTTATAAAACAAAGTCTAGAACACCACTATTCTTCTTCAGTCACTGAATAACATAACTGCTGTCAAAGGTTTTAAGTTTCTTTATACATTCTGTTGCAGCTTATATTTCAGACATCCATATAGTCTCCGTTTTTTGAGACAAAGGCATTTTCCATTCAAATCTAAAAAGATTTCGAGAATTTAGTAAATAGAACAGTTTCTCAAATTTCCTTATACAATTAATAGTAATGTTACTTAGTATTTGTAATTTCTAAATTCGTTTAAGTGTACAAACCTTCATGTCTTTCTCCAATCCATATCTCTCTTAATTTGCTACCCAAACGTAGACCTTCTGTTTGTTAAATATAATGCAACAATTTTATATAATTAAAATCAATAATTTCGCCATTAGTTTCGACAATTTTAGTAAGGTTATCCCAGTTATTCCAAGCCAACTTAAGTATGTGACATGTATCTAAAATTATAAAAAAATGTATTTTTATCTATGGTGAATGCAAGAAATATGGAGTCGCAGTGTCAATATCAAAGTTGTATAGGTTTACACCTAATGTTATCCATCAAATGATAATTAGGTGATGATAACTCCATATTCATGCAATTTTAGAAGAGCCTATAACGCCACATTTCTTCTTTCATTACCATCTAAACCGTTAATAAAAAATAACCAACTGGCAACATCCATAATTCCTCGTTAGATTCTGAATTAATAATATTCGTTCAAGCTGAAGGTTGTAAATTTCTAAAAATAATAGGGATAATTAACAATTTTTTATCACTTTCTTAAAAAGTATAAAAAGAAACAAATTGATAATTTTATGTATATATTTACCTCATAACACTAATATTATAAAAATCTTCAATTTTAGGCATATTTATGAAAGGTATTGCATTATTTTTTTATTGTATCTATTCGTTTTGAAACGATTAAATCATCTTTATGACAATGGGAGGAACAAATAGCGTTATTTGCACTTATATTTTCCAATAGCTATTAACCAAGAAGCATACGCCTTTTCCTCAATCTAAAAAAATTATAGTAATATCAACGTTAGAGTTACAGTTTGTTATTATTGTACTATGATATTTCGTTTTCTAGAAAATGAAACTGTGGTGAAGAATACGGGTCTGGTAGAAATGATGTCTTACTTGTGGAATGTAATGTTTTCTGAATCCTCGTTGTTTAAACAACCAAAAACAAAGCAAGTCTTTCCCATTTTATTAATTGTCTATAGTAAAAACTTCTAAAATTCTTTTAAATTCACTAAAATAGCGAATTTCCAAAGAAACCAAGAATAGTTGACATAAATGACACTTCTGTCAAAACACTACAACAACTGCGCATGTGCGTTGTACGCTTAAATTGCCAACATGGCGGCCTACATGGTGTGATTATTTTGAAACACCGGGGAAAACGGCCTTTTCCTATCTCCTCTATCCAAATCTGTGCCTTTAATGAATATTTGTTAGAGATGGGCGCTGTTTTTTATGTGTAGAGGTGTTTGATGTCGTGAGTGTTCAAATTGTATTTGAACACATACTCTGCGAATGCGAAGCTCTAGATCGCAAGAGACAGGCTCTTTTTGGACAACCCCAGGTTGATCCAACAACGTATAGAATCCACTCACCCAAGGATCTGTACAAACTTGTACAAGGTACAAAGGTGACAGAATGGGTGCTATGAACTAACATGGGGTAAAACACAATAAGCCAATAGGCTTCAGTGTTATTCGGAGACATAGTCAGACGAGCCCAGGAGAGAAAAAAAAGGCATTGTCTTTAATCATTTAATATCGGCTTACTGGTAGGTAACAGTGACAGAATGGTCTCGACTCTTACTGCTTTTAAGGACTCTTCCAATTCAAACGTATGCCCGTCGGCCTCTACAATTCTCCTGCTACTTAAGAAATGTTATTCAATGGTGTTGTTGGCTCAGAGTTGGATCCACGTGAGTTTGTCTAATTATAATATGTCATTATAGTAACTCGCACTTTAGTTAATTTAGTTTTTCTGTTTTGCCTGTTCTTTTTATTTAGATATGCATCATTAAAATTATATAATTGGCTAATCATACCATTAGGGACAATATTTCTTAATTTTGACGCGATTAAATTTTATTGATCATATTTACGTGTCAACTTTACGAGATATATGAATAAAACTGATGATTATGTTTAATTTTTTGCGTTTTTGGCTTATTCCTAGTTAGTACCTTACTGAATTAAAACTTAATTGGCGCCCAAATAAAATTGAAAAAATCACGAAAGTTGTACCAAGATGATAACAATAGGTCTGTTCCAAAACGCACGAAAACCGTACAAATCATGCGTTGTATACAATTTTTGGGTAGATAGCGCGATTTGTACGGTAATATTAGGGTTTTCGCACGTGTTGGAACAAACCTAATGTTGTACTGAGAATATATTGCCTATGTCACGTGACATTATTTTTAAAAAATCGATTTTTTTTTATAAATCCCTAATTTTTGTTATTAATAAGTGACAGTACCACAATGTGTTACGTACTATCGGTGTGCTACATAAATAACCATAATATTTGCTAAACAAACTGCCAGTAATAATCGTTATCACTGATTATTGTTACCAATTATATTAATTTTATTTTACAGTTAAATTGTCTGCGTAATATTTTGGATCACCAAGGATCTCAGCTCGTTAAAAACTTCAGAAAAGTACAACCTCTATGCGATAGAAGCGTTTTTCTCGTCAATCCTTGTCCATCTAAGTATGCAACGCTTTTACCAATCACTCATGACACTTACTTACAATATCATGTGTCGGAAGTTTTTTATTATAAAGATATTGGTGCGATAAGTAAATTACTTAAAGAGTTTTTGGAAGATACGCAATCGATTTCGCAATATTCAGAAACGAACGAACTTACAGAAAAATCCGTTGATAGTGATGAAGATGAAACTCAAAATGAATACTCTTGTGATAATTAATTTATAAAATCTTATAAATAAATAAATACCAGTTGTTTTATTTGATCTGGCTGAAGTTATGGGCTAGTTAAACTAAACAAAATGACCTATAAATATCTAGGCAAAATGGCTTCAGAAGCGATTGATAAAAAAAAATGTTGTTCTTTAATATATTTTCCAACAAATTTCAAAATGATGGGAAATTAACAGAAATATGCTTTTTAAACTTTTGTGCAACTTGATTTAGTGATTGATAATTAAGTGTTGAATTATATATCGTTATATAATTCCACTATTAATTTATATGTACTATTAACGATAAAACATTTTACTATCCACTTTGAGGCCTAATGATAGTTCTAATATCTAAAACGGTTGAATTTTAAAATTACGTGGGATTGATTTGAAAATAAAACGATATGTTATTTCTACATTTCTATTTACGAATCAAATACGTTTATTTTAAAGTTTGTGAAAGCTAAACGTGTATTTAATAAATACATTATATTTAAAAAAAAAAAAGAACACTTTTAATATACCCATGTAACAGCTAAACATACATTTTCAACTTAGTTGTATACTACTCGATGATGATGATAATTGATAAATAAATTATATTTTTCAATTTAAACATTGATAAAACCATCGATTTTAGGTATTTCTCCTAAAAATATTTCTGTGTCCTGATGATTCCGATCCATAAAACGAACTTACAGTATATTTAGAACTACTTCGATGTGCTTGGGTTCGGTTAAAATTTACAAATGGCAAAAAAGAAAAAGCTCTTGCAAATCCTCTTCGAAATCTGCAAATAAACCAAAACAAAATTAAAAACCAGCGATTTATTTTTATTGCAAATAAAGTATACTGTATTTGAGACCTAGAGCTCAGTCGGCTACAACCTTCTGACAGCCACATACAAAAAGGTTCCATTTAATTGATTCTCATCTGTTTTGTTATACCAAATGTAAACTAATTCCGTTCTGCATACGATGAAAATGGGTTGCCAACATAAAAGTTGCCGCAACTGATGGTTGCCAGCATTTTCCTACTTACCTAGCATTCATCCAACAGTAGATAATTGGATTGTACATTGAATTGCTCATGGCTAACCAATATATAAATAAATATAAATCTTGAATATATGGAGAAAATAAAAGAGATGGGTAGTAAAATGTGACTAGAAAGTAAACATGGTACGGTAGCCAACACACTGCGAAAATAGTAACGACCACCATCATCATTTTCACTACCTGTAATAATATAATTTATTAGGATATTAAATAGTAAACTATTGAAAATATAATGCATTAACTATTATTAATATTATTTATTTATTTTATACCTTTCTTTTATTTTTAATTATCTCCATTTGTCTATCGGTATTTTCTCCAATACATTGTGAACCCCATAAAACAGCAGAAATTCGACTGTAAGTGAAAATCATGGCTACAACTGGGACAACATAAATACAAACTGTCACTGATATGTTGTAACTAAAAAAAAAAATAATTATTAAAAATGATAATAATTTAGTGTAAGAAGGTTATTCACATCTCAAATGTGGTCAATGATTGTAAACGGGCCTGCATAAAAAGTGGATCATTAAACAAGAAAATCCAGTAGCAACAAGGGAGTTTCCACCTCAGTGTCTTATCAATTAGGCCACCAAAGCATATAGCAAGCCAATATGAAGATATTTTGACGCAAATGGTGTCAAATATAAGCTGCTCTTTAACAACTAATAAGATTGTCTGTGTTTCCACTTTCTCCAAAATTGTAGCACCACAGTTTGATGTTATTTTGACGTCTGCGTAAAATTAGAGCAAACCATACATTATACCACTTGACCTACATGTCCGTATCAGAGACGAGCGCGTCTTACTGGCAATTTTGTACGCGATCGACTGGGATACGGGCAATCATTCTATTTATTTACAAATTTTTGTTAGCTCGTTTTAAATGCGAGTGTATTCTAATAAATACTTCTACATGTGCCAATAAAAATTTTGTCCCCTATGTAAACAACACAAAATACTGACTAACCCGCTAGTAAAAAAATATTGAGTACGCCACTGATAATTATTGAGGTAAAGTATAATTTATAGGCATATTATACTCTTTTATAAAAGGTACACATTCACCATAAACAAATAATTTTTAAGAAAATTTATAATTTCGCCCCCCCCCCCCACACTAAGTAAAGTACAGTTGCTACGCCACTGAAAATATATTTTTATTATTTTAATAAGTATGAACACTAAATTTTTACTTTAACAAAATCGATAATTTTTTGACTAAAAAAATAAAATAAATGAGTACATTACGTGGTTAAAAAGCAATATCATTTTCGTTCGTCTCATGATATCTCAGATACTTAAGGTACCATTTTGAAATGCATGACAGACGACAACAGATGCGACGGTAAAGGAGACAGATGCATTTACGTTACGCTTCACACATTTGGGAAGCAAGGAGACAGGCGACACGACAACCGCAGATAACCATTCGAAGGAACGATCAGTGTTGCCAGACCTACTGTTTTTAAGTAGATCCACTGTTTTTGTCTCTGTTTTCCAGTTTTAGGCATGCAATCTACTGTTTCCGCTAACTTAGCAAATTTTAGGTTTGCCTCATTCTTCAGCTAATGGTCAAAGAATATTTTCTCTAGTAAATTTGCTAAAGTAAAAGCAGCGTAATAAGCAGCCACTATTGTAGGTTTGCTCCTTAAAAAAACCTCAAGATAATCAGTATATTTTTATTTAAAATGCAACAAAGAATTAATAGGGCATCTGATTCAGAATACTTTTGTTTCCGTACGTTAAGTATATATTAAAAATGTAATGATTTGTTTTTATTCTTTGTTTACTTTCTAACTGTTTATTTTTCGTTTCTTATATACTTTTTTTTATTTTATTTACTACACTGCAAATTATAATTATTTCCCCCTGTATTAAAATCTACTATTCAGATCTACTGTTTTTGTTTTCGTCCACCTACTGTTCCAGCAAATATTCTTCTGGCAACACTACCCAAGATAGAGATTGAAAGACCTTTGCAACTACCATTTTTATAAAATATCAACTAATCACCTAGAAATACAAGCGATGACTAAGCGAGACAGGCAGTAAACGCTACCCTGGGACCGATCTATCTGTCGTCGACTTCTGTCTCTCGTTCTTGGTCTCCTTTGCCGTCGCTTCTGTTGTCATCTATAGTCTGTCGGGCGTTCCGAAATGGTACCTTTAAGAGCAAACCAAACAGCTTAAAAATTTTTAATTCTCCTGGGCCTTACATTTAGTCCGATTTTTATAAAAAAAAATAAAAAAACATTTACGCACCATTTTAAATTAAATCTATGGATAGTTGCTGCTTTTTTTTGAGTAACTATCTATATAGTAGTTTTTAAATAGGAGGATTTACCACATAACCATCATTTTTCATTGCACAAATTTAAAGCTCTCAATATTCTCGAGATACACAACATTGCGAAGTATTACTAGTGGCTATAAGTAAATACCTATTATAGGATTTATTGTTATTCACTTTATACCTATACAAACATCCTGGTAAATTCAGTTTTATTCAATCGGGGTTAAATAATAAAACACATTTCTTTAAATATAAAATTGATACCTAATGCGAAACTGATAACGCCTATTTAAAATAAAAAAAATATTTTAAATCTGTCCCCGACTTCTACCCACAATGGGCGACAATCAAGCAAATCTTACCAAATGAAAGGTGCCACTGCGTGATTGTTATGGTAAGCTGTGGTACCAATTCGCTTAACTATCGCAAAGAAGTTCACTTTTCAGCCATCGCTTCAGAGTGTGAACATAGTTCCACCCCAGGTTTGTTCTTAAGTATGTTCTAAATCCTATTAGATCGTCTGAATCGGATTATAATGAGATTATAACTGGTTGGATATCATCTTCCATATTGTTCTCTACGTAAACATTATTTTATGCCTTTTATGCATTAATTCTCCCAGTCATAGAGTAATATGGGTCCCAGTGTTTATTATTATCATCAATTTTTTTTGTAATACTCATATTAAGTGTTTTACGTCACCTACTTTAAACATTATGAGAGGACACAATGTTTTACGTCACTTCATACTACTTCAATTTTGGTATGAAAAAGTCTTAAAATATGTCCACTTTTGATTCGTAAATCTAATGATATGTCTTGTTGCAGTCTGTAACCATGTTATGTTGGGAATGGGGTGTTAAAAAGATCTATTGCGTCTGCTTTTGTCGCTAATGCAGCAAGAAAATAGCTCGATGCATATAACGACCCTTTCAATCCTATCTTCCTAAGAAGGTGTAGGATTTGGAGTGACTTCAAGTTAAATAAATCTTTCTCTTCTATTTGATATGTTCCTAGGTATATCGCCCTTTGATTCTGGAGTGCTACACATTCAGTCAGAATGTGAATGGAGGTCTCCTCCTCTTCACAGAATCTGCACCAATATCTTCTACTACTCTTAGTTTACTAAGGTGTCCTTTTAGTCGGCAATGCCTGGTGAGGATTCCTGCTACAATGCGTAACCTGTTCTTGCTCAGGCAGATACAGGCTTTCGATATTTTCTGGTTATATTCACCCAGAAGTATCTTAGCTTGTCCTAGCCCCAAGAGATTATTCCAATTATTAGTTCTTCTACTGCCCAGTTCTTTTTTAATCTCTCCTAATATTATTTTACTGCTGATATCGCATAATGGCTCAGATCCCACAAAGGGTGTTTGAGCCTCTTTCTTTGCCATACTATCTGCAATAACATTATTTTTTACTCCGTTATATCTCAGGATCCAAATGTATGTAGCTGTATTTTCCTCGCCTGGTCCATTCGGTTTTTCTAAGCATCTCCAAACCATTTTCGAGTCGATAACCTAAGAGCTTAGCACTTTGATGGCTGCTGGGCTATTGGACTTAATGATAATCTCTTGTCTATGATAGTATATCTCGATCTGTTACACTTCTTAATTTTGTGAATTTCCCAAACTTTCAGAATGCCTGGTTCTAGGGCCATACACTTCTATTCCAGTTTCTTCTGTGGTTTTCGAACCATCCATATAAGAATGTCTTTCGATTGCAAGCGCGATGGATTCTTGGTTCCATTCTTTCTGGCGGCCCAGCTCTAAGACTTTGAAGTTTTTGACAAAACTGTACTGATTTTTTATTTTGTGCTGGGGTATATCCCAAGTATCTTGGTCCTGAAGCTAGTAGACTTTCTTTCTAATCATTCTATATCGTGTACTGTTTACCACATTCTCTGTTATTAAATGTAGAGTGGTGAGGTTTAAGATCACCTCCATTGTGGCCGTAGGACAGGTTCTAATAGCAACGGTGATGCAAACACAAGCTAGTCTTTGTACTTTTGAGATATTTGCTCTCGTAGTAGCTAACCTAGTTCTGTTACTTCAGGCTATAGCCCCGTAAGTCATGAGTTGTCTCACTATTGCTGTATAGATCCATAACAGTGTGTTCAGAATACATCCCCATCTTTTACCTGCAATGCTTCTGCGTACCATTAGGGCTTTTGTGGCCTTATTTACTACTACCATCTCATGTATGTTCCAGAAAAGTTTGTCGTCCAAGGTTAGGCCTAGTTATTTGGCTTTTTTTTTTCATTCTATTTCTATCCTTTCTAATTTATCGGTTTTGACATTAAGTTTTCTTTTTCTTGAAAACGCTACTAGTATCATTTTTATAACTAACACGTTTTTTTTCTCCCGAGGGAGTTTAGGCAATAGCACAGTTCATTCAATTTCTTGGCTTAAAATTAAAAGTTCACGCACCACCTGCCATTCATCTGATGGGTCAGGCAGAAATTCAAGAGGGGCTACTTGTTATTTTTTCTATAATCAAGATCTTAACTTCAAGAGAAGTAATCGTTTGTAGAAAGGTATTGTTTTTGCAATACATTTAAACTCTGCATGTAACCAATATCTATACTTTCGACACGTCTAACATATATCCTTGTTTCTGCAAAACTCATCACATATGAAACATTTTTCCTCTTCATCGCTTTTAATTTTAACTTCTTCATTATTTTCTTTGTTCTGTAGAAGTTCAAATTTTTCTTGTTACAGTTATTTTGATCTTTTTCATTATATTTACTTCTTTCTTCTGTTCCTTTTCTTCCAGTGTGGGTTAAAAATAGATTAAAGTTAATATTTTACCTGGTTGTTTTCTTCTATGATTCTTTTTTTCGCGCCCTACTACTAGTGGATCTATTTCTTCATAAGATTTGTTATTTTTTACTTAAACACTTTTATGTTCATCATTTGTTGCTTCAATGTCGCTTCCAGAGTTACTGGAAGTTGTTAAAAATGAGTTCTTGTTTTAGAGTACAAACTGCATTATTAAAAAATGCTTACGTTTTCGTTATCGTAAAAATATTGCAATCGATATTAGGCGCATGTCAATATTCCCCACTTTCCCTTATACTCACTGAAAAAATAAATGCTCTTATTTTAATACGTTTTTCTTACTGGATTTTTGGCAATATACTTTCTTCAGAGGCGTGATCACTGACCGAAACTATTAATAATAATAATAATAATAATGTTTATTTCACATCAAAAGTACTAGATTCCAAAAATAATTGCAAAATAACTTTTACTGTTTCAAATTCAGAGAGATACGCAGAAAATGCGTAACTCCACTTTTTTATGGTGCACCGTGTCAATGGCTTTAGAGAGATCTATGAATAAAGCTATTGTCGATGTTTTTAAACACAATTATTTTTTATTTAAACTTACTGGTATTCTAATGATGATGCATTAGTGTCTCCATCTGGCCAAAGCATATAGCAACTTATTCTTGTTGAATTTTGTAATTGTTCTGTCCGGAAAAATAAAACGTTTGGAAGGCCTACCAAAACGCCTAATATCCAAGTCCACAATATCACAATCAAAGTACATCTTTGACCGAGACGTTTTTTTAATGGTGTTATTATAGCCATATATCTAAAAAAAGGAAATTTATATAAAATCTTTATCAAATATGATTCGATATGAACCATCAAATCAATAACCTATAATAGGTCTGTGGAGTCTGAGGTATATGCGAGGGTATATGTAACTTAAAACAACTCATAATAAAATATTGTGTATTATACCCTTTCCTTTTCCCCGTTAGATTTTTTGATGACGGAGACAAACAATTTGTATTGTTTAAATAGTGAATAGTTAATAATATGTCTATGATACTAACCTGTCTATAGATATAGCCATCAGAGAAAAGACTGAAGCACATATTGATAGAACAGCAACAAATTGAGTAATTTTACAATACACCAATCCGAATGGCCAGTGCGAGTACAACATATATATAAAATTAAATATTACATTTAGTGTAGACACCATTGTATCTGCTACAGATAGATTTACTAAAAAAAAATATATAAATTATATAGCGTGTTCTAAAAAGTTTTAAACAAATGGGAAAAAGTTTCTTGTTTCATATTATTGATAAAAACTTTTGCATTACTTCGAAATCAATCAGGCATTTATTTATTAAATGTTAGGTGGTATACAGAAAAAATTAAACTAATGATTTATAATGAAGAGTAAAGTACCTACTTTTAAATTTCTATATGAAGCAAAATATTAATTGAAAATGTGATAAAATCTAAAACCAGTGACAATTTCTAGATAATACTTACGTAAAAAATAGTTAGTAACTGTTCTCATTCTTTTATTTAACAGTATTATCCATATAACTATTACGTTTCCTCCTGTAGCAACGACAACCATCACAATATAAAAAATACACCATAAAATTTGTTTCCATAATGGCGGCGTAAATTCAATTTTGCTTTGATTAACTGTAAATATGTAATTTGAAATTAATAATATTTATTCTCTTTTTATTTAATAGCCGCTTTACAGTTTAAATTATTTATTGTTAGTAACTAAAATTTCAATGAAGAAACATTTGGTGAAGCCAAAGAGTTTAAAAAATATTGCCATTCAGTTTGTCGTTTTTTATTTGTTAAATACAAAATAATTCACAATAAAAAATATTAGCTAGTTAAAAATGCAGACATACACAATTACAACACTAATAATAATAATACTCTCCCTAATTCACCCCCTTACGAGTGAATTTCAACCCCTGAAGTCGACTGAACGACTTGTGTAGGGGAAGGGACGGCTATTATTATTATTTGCCGTGGCGCTCCGGGGCGACTTAAAGATGATTGATGGTGCCATTTGACTTACAGGTGAGGAAAACCCGGAAAACCTCACCCACCATCATACACTAGATGTACTAATTATACTGTTCGATATCGTCTTATAAATCTCAAAAAAATTCTACCATATTTTTGATAAATTACCAGCCAATTTTAAAAATTTTAGTCAGAGAAAATTTAAAATTATGTTAAAAAATATTTGAGTTATTATCTTTATTTTCTGTCAGTATCATTTCATCTAGATGAAGCTCACTAACCGACTGTGACGTCTTGTGAAGTTTACATGTAATATTTTATAATGTAAAACTTGATTTCTTAATTTTAGTTTCCAAGTTTTTTAATTTTTTTTTATTCATTGTTTTAATTCACACATTTCATGACTCTCTCTGCAAACATCGTATATACATGTTTGTATCGTAGGAAATAAAATTTACTGTACTCTACACACCCTCAGGAAGATACACAAGACCTGTAACAAAATGATGCCGGATAGATGTTGAATTTTCAGTGTGAGCAAAAGAAATGGTTTTGTCACAGAGTGGAGAATGTTGATTCTTGGTGTAATTAATTTTTTACTTATTTCTGTTATAATAATTTAGTTAGACACTATTTTTTTAAATGTGATATAACTTTGACATATTGTTTTAATGTATTTTAAAAAACTCGAAAAAGATGTCTTGGATTAGATTTAAAAGGAGTTACAACATTATTTGACCTTTCCAAATCTATTGTGAGACTTTGTTGTTCAGATTATATCGTCTACCTGTCTTTTTTATTAGATTCAGTAGCTTTGTAGATACATGCTTCTGGCTTTTCTTCATCTAGTTTTAGAAACCTGTAGGCCTTCACACTGGCACAGGACGTGGATTGATGTTCTACTTTTCTTTTTCACGAAACTAAAAAACATTAAGTTTGCTTCTTTTGGTAGATTGATGATACTCATGTGCCTTCTTAGGTAAGAAGACTTACTGCTATTCTAACAATTTGCCGTTTTTGACCCTCTTTGACCTGTCTTAATCTTCGATAGTAATTTAACCATTCTTGCGAGTTTATGTCCATTCATTGTTTAATGGATGCCTTGCACAAAGCCTTACACAATGCCTTAGCAACCCCACGAAGGATTTAGTGCATGTCATCGCCTTATCTAAGTCTTCTCGGGCTATTTCGTTGGTCTTTTAATTATCTTGATATCCTTCGTGGCTAAGGTCCTTTTTTTTACTACTAAGCTCTGTTAGATCTTCTATGCAGTGTTTTTACCAGTCGTGAATTAATTTCTAGTATAAGCATTGCTTTTGAAGTTGTTTGGCTATTAGAGTAGATGGCAATAGTTTTGCCTGATACTTACTAATTTATTATTTATCTTGGACAGAGTTATATGGCTTGGAAAAGTGTTACGTGTTCTTCTAGACCAGACGAATTTGGCCTATATAGAAGGTTCCTGTTTCCAGAATTGTCGGGCTGGTATTTGAGTTTAAAAATTTTGTTTAAATTTGTATGTGGTTATAGGTATTCTTACTTCTTTACTTGCTGATATAGCATCGTATGGTCAATGCTTTTTATTTGGTTTATTGGGTTTTGACCCTGCATTAGCCTGTGAATAATGAACATGGTTTTTCCTTGTAAGATTTGCAGTGGCGTGAGGTGCAATACACACAGCAATTTTATTTGCAGTGATAAAAATTGTTAACTGTAAAGTAGCTCTAAGAAACATTTAACTACATTCAAGAGGATTTATTTTTCTAAATGTTTGTAATTAATTTTTTTTTCTTTGGGGGAGAATCATAATTTTTTTTAGGAACAACAATTTAATATGTTTTTTTTTATAATTAAGCAATTTTTGTAAATCTAAAAGTATAATGAATCCAAAGTTATAATGAATATTTTTATTTTATTTTATTTAAAAAAAAAATACTTTTTGAATTTCTCATTACTTTTTCTTATGATGAACTTTAGATTGCTTAAGCTAAAAATTTGCAGAAAGAAAATTCTCAGCTGTCTGGATGTTCAATTGAAATGTATAATAAGTTTAAGAATTGCGATTTTCAAAATTATGAATGTCTCTCAAAATTTATTGTATTTTTACAAATTAATTCATCAAAATAAATATATTAAGCAACAATATTTGAATAAACATAGATAAATACTTACTTGAAGTCGATATGGTATAATTATTATTGTACATTATTTCATTAAAATAATCTACCCATGAAGACAAATTTGCGTACATGTTTCTCACTTTAGTGACAAATTTATTGATCAAGTTTTACCTAAAACAAATAATATGCAAGTATATAGGTGCTACAAATTACTGAGATTGAATGAATTATTAAATAGATCTAATTAGTTTAGATTCCTCGTTAAATAAATCTGGTAACCGTACGTGATAAAAATAGATGTTTTAAATTACATTTTTGTTTATTTTATGAGATGATTGATATTCTACGTTATTAAACGAAAAAGATATAAGGAACCGTAAAAATGCTGAAAATGATATGATTTAGAGGAAAAACAGTTTTTTTTATTTTTTCTATAAACATACATTATTAATAGTTATTGATACAGGGTGCTTCAAGACTTTGAATTGGCTACAGCAATGAAGATTGGATTTTGTTTTAGAAGACACAAAAACTCTTTCTGCAGAATGAAGGAAGCAATTTAGTAGTGGCAACAGTTTTATGAATTGTCTCCTAAACGAGGTAATTACTACAAGTTCAAAAATTCAAATTGCATCCCCCATCATTTAATACCTCAATTTAAAACGAATTCGATCCATTTTAGCGCGAGACAATTCCGATCTGGAAAAATTAGCTGCGAGTAATTCGCGCTGAGACTAATTCATCAGATAAGTTAGCGCTTGATATAAATAAGGTAAGTCAAATCAAAGCCTTGTCAAATTAAAGTGACACAAGTTAGCGCCTAGTCAAAAAAAAGTGAAACAGAAATTAAAAAACAAAAAAAAATCGGGAGCTTTCAGGCGAAAGCAGAGGAGGTTCCGACAAAACGCAGGTTCTCTGAATGCAGGACCTCTGAGCGGCAGGAACGCATCCTCCGCATCAATAGATGTGGAGATTGTGGCAGGACCCAGTTGTTCCGGCACAAGGCGGACCGCTATACTAGTGAATGCTGGACCACTGAAACGGAGGCAATCCAATTCTGCCCCTACGAAGATAAGATGGAAGGCGAGCCCTAGTGCCTTAGGGATGGAAAACAAAAAAAAACATACCCAAGGGTGTGTCCAGTGAGCAGGGGCAAACCGGGGGTCAAAAGAGAAACCGGTCTGATATCTGCAAGCCGGAAAAAATAAAAACAAAAGGAACTAAAGATGTGAGAGCTGTGGGTTCAGGAATAACTGGTACCACATCTAATGTGGGACCTAAGTAAACTGAGAGTAGTAGAGGATAGTGAGTGCAGATTCTGAACTTTACTTGAAGCCACTTCAAATCCTACAGTTCCTTGAGAAAATAGGATTGGAAGGGTCTCTATAGGCATTGAGACATTTCCTTAGTGCAGTGGCGACAGAAGGGGGCACAATAGATCTTTAAGGTCGCAGTGTACTAACACCCTATTCTCAACATAACATAATGTGGGGTCAGATGAGACCGAGCCGGTAGCATCGCGTTCTTATGCTTTAAAGATAACAAATATTGGGGTGGCTATTGTATCAATAGACTATACCAATAATTTATTAACAACGAATCAGGGTGACTTAATAAGGACTGCACTGCTCGAAAGGCTGAAAGAACTAGATGAAGGAAAACATTCACCCAGGTTATTCGAAGCTCGAATAAGAAACGGAAGCTTAAACCTTTTTTGCGTTGACAAAACAACGAGATATTGGGTTGAGCAAACTGTTCAAACTAGAGTACCTTGGGCAGATGCTAAAATCAAAGTCATAGTCGTAGTCGAAAATTCGGGGCGCCAAACGGAGAACTGGAAAGTTACTGGAAGGAAGTTGGGCCCTAGGAGACAGCAACTATTCATTAACATGGATTTTGTCTCTTAAGAGAAGATAAAGGAGAAGCAGGGAATACTGCTGGAGGAAAAACGGAACTGATCCTGCTGCTCCTGAAACTTCTCAGGAAAAAGATAAGCCTACTGAGGGAAAACATATACCAGAGGAGAACCAAAAGAAAGTAGGGCTACAGAATAAGTAGCCGAGGCTCCAAATAAAATAGGGGGCTCGGAATCCACAGCACATAAGCTAGGTGAAGACGAGGAGAGGACTCTTTTAGGGGACTCGCCGCTCTCTGACCCGGTTACTGTGCCGGAGGAGAAAGGGAATCCTATATTAAGAACTAAGGGGTACCTTTAAAAAAAATTAAGGTAATTCATGAAAAAATATATATTACTATTGGGCAGCAACAGCTATCCTATGACGATGTATAATAACACAAGACATTGATCTTGTTCCAATTCTAGAACCTCTTGTATACAACAGATGAATTAGAGGGTTGTATACATCAGGGGACTATGACATGATTCACTCAGAGCCTGGGCACCCAAGAACCTGTATTATTTGCAAATAAAAGCTTGAATTTTAAACAAATGTCCTTGTGATATTTCTCAAGCTAAGTGGAACTAATTTTATTGTTGGATACGTCCATCTGCCACATGGCCAACCTGGAAATCCCTCTCCCCTACCAAGGAGGTCAGAGAACTAGTTAGTCACTGAAAAAAAAATCGAACTTCTTCTAGGGTACGATGCGAATGCTCACCATATAGTATGGGGGAGCAGTGCCGTTAATAACCGAGGAGAAGCTTTTCTAAAATGTATTACTTCTAATTTTAAAGTAGAAGTGACAAGTGTTAGAAATTAACCAACCTCCGTAACATCTGTGAAACGATTGGTACACAACGAGCCTTGTTCGTTAGTGGGGAAGGGAAGTGACACGTCTCAAAAGAAGCATAAATTTCTGACCATAAGCATATCCTGTTTAATCTAAATACAGAAAACTTCGGGTCAGGACACATTTTGTAAACCTGCAACTGGAGGGGGGATGCTTCAAGCAGGGACTGGAGGACTCTCCTCCAACACCAAAGAATTCAGTGGAAGTTAAGTTTATGTTAGAGTTTCTGACACAAATCTTAACCAACATGTTAACAAGGGATGCCGGTAGGGAGGAGTTTTATCTCCACTTATGTGGACCTTGGGGGTAGATGACCTCTTGTGAGTTAGAGAGAGGAAACGCAAGCATTTGCAGGAGCTGTCTTTTAGCATGAAAACTTAGGAGAGGCCATTATTTTGAACCTGGGCTTACTGACAACAATCTTCCGGGCTGAAGTAACAACAATAAATGCCTGCGCCAAAGTTATGCTAAATTATTCCTTATTATGACAGTGAGTCAGGCCCTTAAAGCACTAAAAAGGGTAGGAGTACAATCTAAAGTATTACTTGATTTCCAATAGTCCCTCCAAGCCCTGGCAGAACATAACGAGGTCCCTCTTGATTGGTTGCTGGGACATAACGGAGATGAGAAAGCAGACCTCCTAGCCTTTTGGACTAGAACCCACATCTGGTATCTCATACCAACATGTTAAATGGGTGCTAATAGAACAGATAAATAGAGAATACCATAGGCTCTGGTTGGAACTTCCTGGACTTAGACAGTCCAAAATATTCATAGAGGATCTATACAAGAGCAGACAAAATTATCTGTTAAATCTTAGCAGAAGCAAACTAAAGGCCCTAATAGGATTCTTTGAGGGGACACTGCGGCCTTAGAAGACACCTAAATCTCTTAGGGATCAGATGATTTCCTATATAGAATATGCGTAATGTATATTTTTCGACTGTTTTGCATAAATTCCAAAAACAATATTATCTGGAAATGTAATAGTCATTTATATTTTTTTGCTTGTTCAAATTTTTTGAAGCTAAAGATAATTCATTAAGAATTAATTGCGTTTTCATGGTCTAGTAAAATTTAAATAAAAAGATATTCTTCATTAAATATTGCAATAAAATTGCGTATTCTGAACATTTTGTAGGTGATTTTTATTTAATTATTGTAACCGATTTAAATAGTTACTGATAATATTTCATTTTAATTATACAGTCAGTAAAATATCAATTAGTTATTGAAGTTATTCAAAATGGTTTTACTTTCGTATAGACGAAAATAAAACGTCAAATATCTTATATTCTGTCCTTTGATTGTCTTTATTTAACTCCAGACCTCAGATGTCCGATCGTGGGACAGCAAAAGATCAGAAATACACTATAAACAAAGAGCACTAGTCGCATCACTATCCCAAATGACCGAACTTAGTCCATCTTAAAGTGGACCGTAGCTTTAAGAGGCCTAAATCTAGGGCTAGATTCCTAAGAAGACGCAGATGTTAGAAAAGCCTAGTAGTTGAGTGAGTAGGTACTCAGCAATATTCTCCCAACTCTTTGTAACATCACAGGTTAAAGACGGTCTTACAGAAATGAGACAATGTGGTTGTCTTACAGTTAACATTTGAGTTGTGCTAACTATACTTTTCATATTTACTGTATTGGTTAGAGTTTCGGCGGGGAGGATTGTGATAGAAATTTAATATAAAATTAACTGGCCTGAGCATTTGTCTAAAATATTGCTGCAGTTTTTAATAATGATTAGGCATTTATATTAATTACTAGGCTACAATAGATCTATTTTAACGTTATGAATCAATTATTTCACACATTTTCAACCAAACCTATATCATTTATTACTCCTTAAAGTAAGTATTGTTACAAATTTAGTACCTAAATTATCAATTCCAGGTATTTTAATATAGAATTAAGTACTCGTAAATTATATTTACGTTTATTTCTATGGATAAACTTTTACCTTGAGCATAAATAAAATAACTTAAAATAAATAATTTATTATTATTTTTTCTAATATAATGTAATATATGTACAACAAGAAAAATCAGTAATATGGATATTAGTGAATATGTAATTGTCAATATTTTTTTTAATATTTTAGGAAAAGTACTTACATTCCTTCACATAACTATTACTTTGAGCCATCAGCAATTAATCTATTGGTGTCTAATTTGAACTAACCCAGTTAAATATTAAAACAATGGAGATATATATTCAATAAATTAATAAAATTGCTTTCGTCGGGTGTGGTCTCTTTTAATATTTGCCTAATCACTTAATAGAAAATTGATATATGGGCTTTTATTGTAAATTTGAGATTATTAATGTCATTACAATTTTTAAAGGTTTTGAGAAGAAAGAAATACCAAAAGGATGTTTATCATCATTAAAAAAAAACAAATTAGCTTTTTATTTATTTTGATTAAATAAAGCATTATTTTATTTCAAATCTATCTCTACATTTCATATTTCCTGTTGAATACTTAACCTACTGATTATATTTTCTCTCTTTTAATTTATGTTTAGATCCTAGAGCAGAACTTGTGAATTTTTCATTAAAATTGCATGGTTCGTTGAAGGATTTGATGGGTGACGTATTAGTAGTAATTTAATGTTTTTTGATACGACGTCCAGTGAGTTACCGTATAGGGTAACATTTTCCGAGTTTTTCTCATCTGTAGTAGATAATAGGGGGGTGGGTTGGCTCAGTGGTTAGAGTCATGACTTTGAGATCGGAAGGTCTCAGAATCGAATCCCACCGTTGGCAGGGATTTTTTTATTTAATTTAATTATTTAAAATTAATTTTGATGCCTTGGTAGGATTCCCCACTCGACCATTCACTGTTGGGTTCTAATTAACAGTAAAACCAAAAGTCTACCAATTTGTTTGAGTATAAGCGACAATTCTAAATTATGTCTAATATTTTTGTCCCAAATTTAATCCAAATAAAAGAGATATTAACGTGACCGTCGCGACGGTCACGCGCCGGCGTCGTCTGTTTGTCACCCGGCATATTAGTTAAGTCTAATAATACAAATTGTCCTAGTTGGAAAAACCAGTCGAGTTATTTTCTGATATTTCCTCGTATTATTTGCACAATCTTTTTAATATTATCCAAGATAGGAAAGTTTGTTTTCGCTTTAAAGAATTATGTTTACAAATGAGCTTTTTACTTATATTATTGTAATTATTATCAGTTTAACATTCGTGTAGCTTACACCAGGTTAATAAAAATTTCACTTATATTTACTGCTTGTAGGTATGAAATAGCATGTCGCAGTGACCAAGTAAACTGTTCTTTTTTTTTTAATTTGTTTATTCAACCCTTTTAATGGATTCCAGTAGGAAGCACAGTAATCCATCGCCTCAGAAAAATGCAAATTTTTTATCCAAACTGTTTTTTTGGTGAGTATTTTTTGTAATTATAATTACCTAAATGTTTGCTAGTGTGGATTACATTATTAACAACTTTTTATTTTTTAAATTGAATTGGTAAAATACAAGATTGGGAAATTTATTAAGAGCAAAAAAAGGAAAAATCAACCACTTTAATTAATCGGTATTACATTTAAAAAAAATTATTGAAAAAATGAATGTTTTAAATTCATGAATATATAAATATAGGTATATAAAATTTTACAATCATATCAGTCAAGATTTCTCAAGGATTACTGCTACAATACGGCTTGGCTAGATATTACGATATAGATCATAATAATAATAATAATACTCTCCCTAATTCACCCTCTTATGAATTAATTTTAACCCCGAAAGCTGAGCTTGTGCGGAGAAAGGGACGGCTATTATTATTATTTGCCGTGGCGCTCCGGGACGACTTAAAGATGATTGATGGTGCCATTTGACTTACAGGTGAGGAAAACCCGGAAAGCCTCACCCACCATCATAGAAAAACAATGGCTTTGACTTTAATCTATTAATCATCAAATTGTATTCGTTATTTTCAAGTATATAGGATTTTCTAATATTGTAACAAATTTTTTATAAGATATCTGTGTGGTAGGTGTCAATCTGTCGAAATAAGTGTGGGTAATTCTTATAAAAATCTATTTTCTGTAGGGTCTATTTTGGGACTAATACGCTTTTTACTGTACACATGTAGCATTAATAATGTCCTGTCATTGGAAGTCTTACATTTATACAAATTATACGTAATTAAAATACTTTCTTTTAAGTTTAGAGATATAGCATGCCAATCTAATGATTTGCAGTGACCTTGCCCAATGTCTATTAAATCAAAAAGACCTTTTCTGCGTCATTATTTTAAACAAACTCAAATCTGTCAATATTTTATTAAAGAGAGATATCTTTCTATCTTATCCTTAACAACTATTATACTTCATTCCCCCCCTGTCCTCACTTTTATCAATATAATTTAAATAGGAAAGTACGAAGCACGGCATATTATTGAATATAAATGTAGTTTTATGGAAAATACGCTATATGACTATTCATTGGAATACTTATATCACTCCATAGTCATAAGTTTTATTGAATTCTCCATAAAATTACTTTTTTCGAAAAGTTAACTTTTGCATTATATTTAATAAGTGTCAAAACGACAGTTTTGTTCTACACAACTTAAAAATCTGTTGCATCCACTTATAAAAATTAATAAAAATATTGATTATAGAATCAGTTTATTTATTATTATTAAAAAAAACAAAAATTTAACAATCAATCATTATAATAATAATAATCAATTTATTTCATCCACAGGGTGTAACAACAAGATCTGCAGTAGGGTAGCGCAAAAAAACTGACTTTTTTTTTTAGTTTTGTACGAAAATATGTTAACTTAAGACTACCATCCAAAGGGCAGCTCAAAAAATGTTTTTATTTATTTATATTTATTTACCAATACATCCAACAGACTTTATCAGTCTATTTACAAAAGTAAATAATTTGTTTAAATACACAAAACTATTATAAATTACAGTGGCGGTTCGTGGGCACTAGCGGCAGTGGCGCACACACTGGAAAGGAATCCCGGGATTCGTTTTTCCCTTAGGAAAACAAGTTCTCCGCTTAATGAAAATTATATATATTTCAAAACAAATTAAATATTACAAAATTGAAGACTAACTGCTAGGTACCGCTGAAGTTGTATACTATTTCTTATAGTTGAAGTCCATTCTTCTGGATTTTTGGCTAGCGATGTGATCGATGACCAGATTATTAAAATTTGGAAAGGACCGAATAAGGTTTTTTTCGATGGATAACATGGCTAACGCGCACAATCTATCTTGGCACATAGTGTTCCTTAAAAATGTTTTAATACGTTTTAGTGTCGAAAAACATCTTTCACTCTCCACTGTGGTCATGGGAATTGTACACAGGATAGTTAGCACCTCCACAGATTCCGAAAATGTAATTGTCAAATTGTTCTCAAAAAACATTTGTAATAACGGTATGGCCCCATTGTGTTGCACAAAGTCATCTCGGGTGTAAAGTATGGACAGTCCTCATTTGAATTTTAAGCTGTTTACGTTTGGAAATAAACTATACACAGTTTTAAGTCCTCATTTGGAAAATAACCTTGGTAGTCTTTAAATTTTTCACTATCAAATAAACTTGCAATTGTTAGGTGGGTAGTAAAACTAAAACGTTCCTTTACCTGCACTACTATTGTATCACAAATTTCCTTACATATCCTTAAATTAGGAATGGGGTCCTCCTTTTCAACAAACTGATACGATTCAATGTATAAGTATCTTTATTAGTCTTTACAGATTTGACAATACCTATCAACTAAACGACAAACAAGTAACATCAGTCTATAAGTTAGTGTATAAGTATATGCTATTCCCACACCTCCCCCTAGCTTCCATCATGTCTTGCAGAGACTTTAAGCTTTCTTGAATAGACGTAGCCAAATTTTCTAGATTGGTAATTCTGGCGTTTGTAGGTTCTTCTTCATCGCCGGATTTACTGGTTCTCCCGTTTCTTTTTTTAGGCATTGCTTTTTGCAATTTATGACTGCGCCATGATACGATTCAATGTATAAGTATCTTTATTAGTCTTTACAGATTTGACAATACCTATCAACTAAACGACAAACAAGTAACATCAGTCTATAAGTTAGTGTATAAGTATATGCTATTCCCACACAAACCGTCTCTTCTTGCTTGTACTTGGACCTGATTGAGTGTTGTCGTTTAAGTTTAGATCTTGTGGGTCTTATTGTGATTGCCATTCTTCATGAATTAGCGTGTCTATATTATTTCTAATATTTTGAATAGCTGCTGCAAAATTTGATATGTTTATCTTAACCTTGAGAGCATCGAGCTATCTACTCTGCAGTTGATCAAAAAGTATATCGCAATTTGGCATTATTTTGCTGAAGAAAAATAACCAGAAACTAAAATCTGTTTTTCAAAATTTATCAACCCTTTAGTCTGATTAAATAAAATGAAAATTCTAACGCTTCTAACTACTTGTTATGTAATATACTTACGACTGTTATAAAAATAAATGCTGTATTATCATACTCACCGATAATTTTTTAGAGGAATTTGAAATCCTTGCTTCTTTTTCCATAAATTTAGTAATATTATATATAATTTCTCTTGTTTGGCTATTAAGGGACCTCCCTTTTAATCCGATACTCTTTGGAGCCAATAAAACACAAAAACACAATACTTATATGTAAATATAAATCACAAGGCACTATAATTATATAAAATTGTCACTTTTCGCACTATATTCACTTTGTATATACTCTACCCAGGTTACGCCACTGAATGACCAAGTTTGGCTTCGCCGAGTGGCCGTTGCTAGGCAACAGCCAGTGCGCAACTTTTGTCGTCGCCATGATGTGTACCAATCTCATCTTGGCCCGACTCTAAATTAGGGATGTCGATTTTTCCCAAAAAAATCGATTTTTTGGATCGATCTAGATCGCGCTTTTCAAAATCGATCCACTAAAAGATCGATAATATTAAAATCGATTTTTTTTTAATTTTAGCTTGTAAAAAAATTAACACAATTTAAGTTTACTTTATTGTTTATTTTAATCTAAACACCAACCTTTTCTCTCCAAATAATTCAAAAACAACAGCCTATCAATTCTTTTAGGAGTCAACCTGCTTCTGTCTTCGGTTAGGATTTGGTGCTTCTGAAAAAAGCCTTTCTGATGGTACTGATGTAGCAGTAATACAGAAGTATCGTACAGCTATTTTACGAAGGTTCACAAACATTTGGGAATTCCAAAATTTAATGGGGTTTGTTTTTTTCAAATCTTCCAATGGTTGGTTTAAATAAAAAGTCATTTCCACCAAAAAAGCCGAAACAAAATTCTCGTGCGGCGTGCGTGCAATAAAAATGGAGGTTAGGTCAGTTTAAGTTAATTTATTTTCTGCTTTTTTCTTCTTACTTGTCATTTGTCATTCATTATTGGCCTCTTACCGTTTAGGATTTACGTGTCTGCTTACGTACAGCAGGATGAATCATAACAAGTAAAAGAAATTGCATCAGGTTAGAACGAAAACCGAATCGTAAAAATTTTAAATAAAGTAGAAAAATCTTAGAAAAAATTGGCTTCGATTTGCCGAGTAGGTGAATCGATCTCCGGATCGATTCTATGCTCTCGAATCGATTCAAAAAAAGATCGATCTTCCGATTAATTGATCTCAAAACGATATCCCTACTCTATAGCACGTCACGATCAGGACAGCGCCCCGCTTGTGACGTATAATCCATCGCATGTGTTCAACTGTTGCTAAGCGATATTGTTGTTGTCCTTGTTTTTTGCATCATAATGAGAGAGAAAACAACAGAGACACTCATTTACTGTGCCCTGTGTCCATCTTTCACTTAATTTCGGAGTTCTCGGAACGTCGCTCAACGCCCGGTCGTCCAGTGTCGCGCCAACTCGGTTTGCGCTGAATATTAGATAAAATAATAATATGCATTGAGGAAAATATAAAATATGTAATTTATTTTTTTTTTGGTTTATTATACTAGGGGCACGTGCCCAAGTGTCCTTACGGGCAAACCGCCACTGATAAATTACTTAACAAAGTTACGGGGTAGTTACCTAATTGGATACCATTCTGTAACATGGCTCTCTACAATATTAAAAAGAAAATACGAACAAAATACTAATTGGACTTCTTTCTTAGTTCTTCACATTGTAGTTAAATGAGTGTGAAAGTGATGCTGCAAATTTGACACGGCAATATAAATTTTTTTATTTGATTTAGACGTAAGTAATTCGTGGAATGTGGAAATTAAACTGATAGCAAATAAAATGATTCTAAAGCTATTAATTCGTTTATAAATAAATATAAATTGCCCAATTATAATAGGTAGTATTATAAAAAAATATAATAAAAGCAAAGCAAACTGAATTGCTCTAATAATAAATTAAAGTAAATAATTAAATT